AGGTAGGAATATGCCTACTCTGTCTAGAGTTTGTTCTTGTGATTTATTAAGAGTCATCGAAATGCTGGCTGGCATCACAGGAAACTATCTTAAAATTAATTTAAATGGGAGGCCAGTGTCAGATAAAGACAAGTCAATTCTTGGAATCAGAACAACCTCTCCTTCCGCAGATCCTGTTAATACTTCAGCTTTGATTATGTTAGGTCACAATCTTGTGGTAATAAATCTAGTGCCATTACAAAGACCCCATTTACTATTAATATTTCTCAGTAGCATGATGATTGCACCTACTTTTAATTTTAATTTATGACACGGCATTCCCGAAGGAGTAATACTATTAAGAAATTCTATGGGAAAACTTTACTTTTTGGCATCATCCGTTGAATCAATGGAATGATCCCTCAAATAGGTGTGAAAATTTCCGCTTTCTTTCAGCTTCACAATGTCAACAATAACAACCAAATTCATGATCAATAATGACAGGTCAAAACACAAGAGTGTGATTGGTGCCAGCGAGAGCTTTATATGTGTCACACATGCGCGAGTCAACGTTTATTTTTAAATTGCCAGTGTACGTCATAGGTACCGGACAGTTGGTCGGTTGGTTGGATGGACGGACGGTCGGACAGATGGACAGTCACTTAACCTTTTCTAAATATAAATATGTAAACTATCATTTGGATAATTCACTCTCATAAGGAAGATGGTGTCATTTTCTCATCAGCTTCTCTAAGAAATTATGCTAAAAAGGTTAAAATTCTACTGTTAAAAATATAATCATTCAGTAAAATTTAATTGGTTTCTCTTATTTCCTTATATCTTCACAGATTGTGAGTGTTGGAAAGCATGTTAAAGGCTACCATTATATCATCGCAAACTTGGTAAGAACTCTTTATTTTCTATTTTTCATAAGAATTTCTCAAGCATTCAAGATTATTTCAACTGTGCCTCAAAACAATGTTCCAATAAATGATTGCAATATATTACTTACTAATCAGTTGAAGAATTGTTACTATATTACTTACTAAGTTATTATTACATAGGATTCTATTTTTACTTCACAGATCATTATATTTCTAATGTAGAATTCAATATATTTGATGCAGATTAGCTTGCTATCTGCCAAAATGACCTTTAAAGATAATTACAATGATTGCTTTACTATGATATCACTCCACATTAAATAATGGCCTTTTCTCTGTATCGATGATAAATGCCACTCTATGAATAAAGATTGCCAGAGATCAACATGGCTGCCGACAGGACAGCAGGGAGAGAGAAAGTGTGACGGAGGAAATGAGTGAGAGGAGCATGTGTGTACATGTGTGGTGTGAGTGTGGATGAGTGAGGGGCAGTTAGATAACACAGGAGTCCCGGGGACTGGCAGATCTAGCTCCCCTAGATGGGGAGGCCTTGCTACCACCTCAGGCGCTCTAAGGCCTGCACAGCTTTGGCACAGAACCCACACCATCTTGAAGGGGGAGTAGCAGAGGCCAGGATCACAGCAACATCAATCCCAAAACTGACCTCTGACACTGCCACGAACCAGTGCAGGGGAGTTGCTTGCTAGCCATAACCCATGTGGGACCACCACCATGCCTTTGCAGGGAGTAGAATGGTACCCACACCGTGGGCTTCCAGATATCTGCAGTGAGTGCACACCAGAGAGACCTCCCAAGCTGCGCCTCCTCACTGGAGCCCAGACCCAGCATCCCAGGATCCCGCACTTTAGGTCTCCAGCTGAACCCCTGCCCTGCCCCATCCCCAGTCCCAGTACAAAGCTGCAGTCCAGCACACCCTCCACCCTGGCCCAGGAGAGAGCCCTCAGTTGATGCATGCTCAACCCAAGGCCCAGGACAGAGCTTCTGGTACGACCGATGCACCCAGCCACAGGTCACAGGACCACGCTAAAGGTGCAATGGAAGTGGGATCTAGGGTGCCATCAGGCCTTGGGTGTTGGGGCCACACAGTGACTTGCATGCCAGAAGGCTCTGGGCCCTCACAGGGAGTCACACACCACAGGAACTGTGCAGGTGCCCCTGCCAACCCCAAGTATTTTGAAGCAGGAACTGAGGGACCAGAGCCATGGGAGAGTGGGATATAATTCAGAGCAGAGACAAAAATGTATGAAACTCAAGGCAGATCCTGCCTCTCGGCTAGCAAGTCCTGAATCATTGGACCACTAGGAGCTTTAACCTCTCAGACCCCAAGCAGAGTTCCCAGAGCCAGAAAGAGACAGCGAAAATGGGGAGAAAAAGAAATAATCAACAAAGAAAAGGAAATGAGGAATTGCCAGAAAAGGAATGAAATGAAATGGAGGCAAGCTATTTGTCAGAGAAGGAATTCAGAGTAATGGTTATATGAATGCTCAAAAGTCTGGATGAGAAATTCACCATGTGTAAGAAACAAAAGAAGATGAAGAATGCCATAGCTGCAATAAAGAACACAATGGAAGGTTTCAATAGTAGAGCAGAAGAAGCAGAGGACCGAATCAGTGAGTTAGAAGATACGATAGAAAAATAACACCCAATCTGAACAGCAACTGGACAAAAAAATTAGAAAGAAGGAGAGTTTAAGGGAGCTTTGGGACAACATGAAATGAAGTAACAGCCGTATAATAGAGATGCCAGAAGGACAAGAAGAGGAGCAAAGATTAGAAAACCTGTTTGAAGAAATAATGACAGAAAACTTCCCTAACTTGTGGAAGAAAAAGGTCACACAAGCACAGAGGGTCCCAAAGAAGATGAACCCAAAAAACCCACACCAAGAAACATCATAATTACAAATGCAAACGTTAAAGACAAAAAGAGAATCTTAAGGGCTGAAAGAGAGAAACAGAAAGTTATCTACAAGGGATCTCCCTTAGACTATCAAATTATTTCTCCACAGAAACACATCAGGCCAGAAGGGAATGGAATGAAGTATACAAAGTGATAAAGAAAGAGACTGAATCCAAGAATACTCTATCCAGCAAGGCTATCATTCCAAATTGAAGAGGAAATCAGAAGCTTCACAGACAAAACAAAAAGGCTAAGGAAGTTTATTACAAGCAAGTCAACAATGCCGACATGCAAAGGGGACTGCTGTAAAAAGAAGAAATAGAAGGAACAGGCATAAAGAATAAAAATGGCTACAAATAAGTACTTATCAATAATAACCTTAAATGTAAATGGTTTAAATGCACCAATCAAAAGACATAGGGTAGCTGAATGGATAAGAAAACATGACCCATATATACTAGTATGCTATCTACAAGAGACCCACCTCAGAACAAGGGACCATACACACTGACAGTGAAGGGATGGGAAAAATAATTTTCAGGTAGAAAGAAATGAAAGAAAAGATGGGGTACCGATATTTATATCTGACAAAATAGACCTCAAGGTGAAGGCCATAAAAAGAGATTAGGAAGGCTACTTCATAATACTAAAGGGATCAATAAAACCAGAGGATATAACTCTGGCAATATGCACCCAATACAGGAGCACCCAAATACACAAAAAAGCTTCTGGAGGGTATCAAGGGAGAGATCGACAGCAATGCAATCATAGTAGGGGACTTTAATACCCCACTGACATCAGAGATAATTCTCTAAACAAAAAAAAAATCAGCAAAGAAACAGCAATCCTTAACTCACTAGATGAGATGGAACTAATTGACATCTTCAGAACATTTCACCCCAAAGTTACAGAATGTACATTCTTCTCAAGTGCACATGGGACGTTTTAAAAAATAGGCGACATATTGGGACACAAGCAAATCCTCTTCAAATTCAAGAAGATTGAAATCATATCAAGCATCTTCTAAGAGTACAATGGCATTAAATGAGAAATCAACTAAAAAAACAATCTTAAAAAAGCACTTGGAAGCTAAATAGCGTGCTATTAAACAATAGGTTACCAAAGGCATCAAATAAGAAATAAAAAACATCCTGGAAACAAATGACAATGAAAACACAATCCAAATCTTATGGGACACAGTGAAAGCAGTTCTGAGAGGGAAGTTCATAGCTCTACAAGCCTACCTCAAAAACAAAACAACAACAACAAAAAGCAACTGGTGATAAATGATCCAATCCTACAACTTAAAGAATTAGAAAGAAGGCAACAAAAAAAAGCCCAGAGAAGGCAAAAGGGGGGAAATAATAAAGATCAGAGTGGAAGTAAATGACATAGAGACCAAAAAAAAAAAAAATACAAAAGATCAATAAAACCAAGAGCTGGTTCTTTGAAAGGATAAACAATATTGATGAACCTCTAGAATGGCTCACCATGATGCAAAGAGAGAGAACCAAAAAAAAAAAAAAAATCAGAAATGAAAGACGCAAGTAACAATAAAACCCACAGAAATACAAAGGATTGTAAAAAAAAAAAAAATACTACGAACAACTCTATTCCAACAAACTGGACAACCTAGATGAGATGGATATTCCTAGAAAAATACAATCTTCCAATACTCAATCAGGAAAAATCATATCCCTGATGAACATAGATGCTAAAATCCTCAACAAAATTCTAGCAAATCAGATCCAGCATTACATTAGAAAGATAATACACTGACAAAGTGGGATTTATTCCAGGTATGCAAGGATGGTGAAATATCCACAAATCAATAAATGTGATACATCACATAAACACATTGAGAAATAAAAATCACATAATCATATCAATTAATGCAAAAAAAACATTTGACAAATTCCAACACCCTTTATTGATAAAAACTCTCAGCAAAGTGAGATTAGAAGGCTCATACCTCAAGATAATAAAAGCCTTATATGACAGACCTACAGCCAACATCATACTCAATGGGCAAAAACTAGTCTCATTTCCCCTAAGAACAGGAACAAGACAGGGATGTTCACTTTCACCACTCCCGTTTGACATAGTACTGGAATTGCTAGCCATAGTGATCAAACAAGAAGTAAAAGGCATCCAAATTGGAAAAGAAGAGGTAAAACTGTCATTATTCGCAGATGACATGATATTGTACATAGAAAAACCCAAAGACTCCATCAAAAAGCTACTAGACTTAATAAATGAATTTGTCAATGTAGCAGGATACTAAATTAATACCCAGAAATCTATGGCTTTTTTATACCTCAATGATGAACTCATAGAAAGAGAAACTAAAAAAACAATTCCATTTTACATTACACCAAAAAAATTAAGATACCTAGGAATAAACTTAACTAAGGAAGTAAAAGACCTGTACTTGGAAAACTACAGGACATTGAAAAAGAAAAGAGATAGAGGAAGACATAAACAAATGGAAGAACATACTGTGTTCATGGATTGGTAGAATCAACATCATTAAAATGTCCATATTACCCAAAGAAATCTATAGATTCAAAGCAATCCCCATTAAAATAGCAACAGTATATTTCACACTCTTGGAACAAACTCTCCAAAAATTCATCTGGAATTAAAAAAAAAGACCCCAAATAGCCACAACAATCTTGAGAATGAAGAACAAAGTTGGAGGGACCACAATACCAGATATCAAGTTATATTACAAAGCCACTGTTCTCAAAACGGCATGGTACTGTCACAAGAACAGACACATGGAACAGAATAGAGAGCCCAGATATTGACCCAAGACATTATGCTCAATTAATATTTGACAAAGGAGGCAAGAGCATACAATGAATTCCAGACAGTCTCAACAATAATGATGTTGGGAAAATTGGACAGATACATGCAAAAAAAATGAAACCTGACCACCAACTTACACCATACACAAAAATAAAGTCAAAATTTATAGAAGACTTAAACAGAAAATGGAAAACCATAAATATCTTAGAAGATTCCACAGGCAGCAAAATCTTAGATATAGCTCATAGAATTGTTTACTGACATATTTCCTAGGACAATAGAAAGGAAAG